AAAAACCCCCCCCCCCCCCAACAAGATTTAGAAGCTTTATTTGAAGAAACAAATACAGTGTTTGGCAATTCTATTCCGTGTAATGCTCCAAAAGATAACGACTCGCCGCATTTCAGCTTTCAATTCTCATTCGCTGACACCTCAACTTCTGTTCCCAATTACCTAGGTACTCCAATAATTCGGCCCCACTCATCTTTCTTCTTTTTGGATCTTTGTTGTCAGAATTGGTGGTACTCATTTTCATGTATTATGCATAAGAGTGAAGCTGAGTTGAGACTAGAAGATGTTATGGTGCCTAATCTCCCCCAACTTTCTTGGGATTGAGAGTGGGTGTTATTGTTTTCATTTTCATATCTTATGTCACTGAATTAGCAAAGCGTTAGATATCCTCCATTAGCGTTATCTATGTTCACATGCAGATGTCCTATAACTTTTCATCTCAGTTGTAGTAGTCGTGTTTTTCTTTGATTTTAAATGTGGTGAAAGTCAGCTAATGTATCCTATCATTGTTTTACTCTTTTCAGGTTGATAATTTTGGCACAGTGAACCTTGTGGATGCATGTCAAAAACTTGGTATTGATAGGTTCATCCTTATAAGTTCAATTCTCGTCAACGGGGCTGCAATGGGTCAGTTGTTCAATCCAGTTTATATAATCCTTAATGTTATGGGACTCGTATTGGTAGCAAAGCTTCAAGCTGAGAGATACATACGTAAATCTGGCATCAACTACACAATTATTAGGCCTGGTGGGCTAAAAAACGATCCACCACAAGGGAATATAGTCATGCAACCAGAGGTAACATCATGTAGCTTACTTCCTCTATTGTTCCATTTCAATTTTGTGTTTTAGAAGTCTTTTTTTGCATCTAATGTTCTGCTCTCTCTCTTCCGTCAATGTAGGACACCCTTTTTCGAGGCTCAATATCCAGAGATCAGGTAGCTGAAGTTGCAGTCGAGGCATTACTCCATCCAGAATCTCATTACAAAGTCGTGGAGATAGTGGCAGGTACTGACATCCCTAAACGTCCATTCGAGGAGCTCTTTGGTTCAATAAAACAGCAGTGACTTGTAAACATGCAATTTTTATTCTCTGTCCACTAAAATACTTACTTTGATATGTACAATATGCAACATTTCTCTTGTGTATATCAGTAAATGATGATGCTTTTGTGATATGAACTGGGTAAAAGGTCTGCAAATGATCCCCCATATATTTCTCATTACAGATGCTCAAACCTTTGTCATACTGGCTCCAGGTTAACCCTCCTATTTACTTGGACCTTGTTACTGAAATGGCTGGAAGTGAAAAGATATAATTTCATACTAGGAAGGAAGAAACAAAGTTGACAAAAAACTTATTCACAGGCATTTCCCTATGAATAAGTTCTTGCACTAAATTCACAGCACTAGTGAAAGATAAGAGAAAAAGAATTACAATTAGTGTAATTCCAGAGATTTCCACGTTACAAAATTACGCATGTTAATGTCTGTTTGCTATTTAATCGGGAGGTGATTCTAGCTTCTTGTTTGATTTCCATACCAGTAGTATTAGTATTGCTCTTGTATTTTCTTATGCTTAGTATTCTTTTACTACTTGTTGTTTTTGCTTCTTATTTTATATTCCTATTCTTGTTTCTTTCAGTTAGGTTGATCTATTTTTGTGTTGTTGTCATTGCTTGCTGCTATTACTTCTTTTTCATCTTTCTTGAAGTCGATGATTTATCGAAAACAGTCTTTCTACCTCACACGGTAGGGGTAAGGTCTGCATACACTCTACCCTCTCCAGACCCTATTTATGGGATTACATTGGGTTTGGGTTTGTTGTTGTTGTACTAACTTCTTGTTTGGGCACTGTGGATGTCATTAATGATGTTTGAAGAATTAACCCAAATAGTCACACAAACTAAAAATAGGCAGAGGAGGTATAATATACGCATAATTTATGTATTATATATGTATAATTGTGTATAATCAATGTATAAACTATGTATATGCCTAGAAAAAATAAATATTGAATATGGCCGGCTATTTGCGTAAAGATCCCTTAATGTTTTAATTATTTTCATGATGACCAAGCATTCACAGATTAAAAATAAAACATTAATAATTCATCAACTTCAAAATGGAGTTAAACTCTCATAATTAAGATGATGAAATCCCAACAAAGCAGTAACAAATTACAAAAAATTGAAAATGAAAGAGAAAAGAAAAAAGTTTGATTAGAAGAGGAAAGCAGCCATAGAAGCAAAGGCAGCCATTAAAACAGGGACAAACAAAGTAATGGCAGCACTCTCCATTGAAGGTGAAGGTGCAGGTGCTTCTGCTCCAGCAGCCATGGCTCCTCCAACATTCCCAAAAGCCACAAGCATCATCATGCAAATGGTAAAAACCATACCCAACTTCTTCAAACCCTCCATTTTTATTTTAATAATTTTCACTAAAAAGCAGAAAAAGAAAAAGAGAACTCTTATAAATGAAAAAGATATGATTGAAAGTGACTGCCTTGAATGTGTTTAGAAAGGATAACAACCATGGTTTTTATAGGAAGAGTTTAAGTGAAGAAAACAATAATTCTATTCGAGAATATATGGGGAAAATGATTTTTTTTAGGTTTGGTGGGTTGTCAATAGTAAAAACAAAATTAGTAATATTACTTTCTAAATCCAGCCTGGAGTGAAGAAACATTAGATAGAATATTTTAGTTAGTTTTTGCTCTTGGTCAAGTTAATTTAAGCTTCAACTCCATGTGCTGATCACAATAATTGTTGAGTGATTATCAATTGATCAACTTTTCAAAATAGCTTCTCTTAATTTCTTCGTTAGTAGTCCTATTGAGAAGGAAATTATTTAGTATAATGATAATTATATTGCAACTGAAATAATTAATTCTAGGCATTCCACTTAATAATCTTGAAATTAATTCAATTCCACATAGTTCGTTGTGATTTAATAATTGGTTCTTGTTAGGAACATTATGCGCAATATTGTTTGAAGCACAAATTTCTCTTCGCATGAATTTGTTCATAAAGCGAGAGGATGATTTTTAATACTAACATATACGCAGTATGAAATAACCTCAATTAAGTTTTGTACAAAGTAAAATAAAATGTTTAATCGAAAAGAGGATTAGAAAGTAACTGGTGGCGTAAGATCATACATCAGAAAGAGATTGACAAAACCTTTTAAATACACAAACAAAAGTTTAGGACAAAAATCTACAGATAAAAATGCACAATTCACATAAAAATGAAATGATAATCGATCAGCTAATTGATGCTCTAACATGTGCTGGTTGCTTAACTAACCATTCTCAATGATTACCCACACAAGCTGACAACTTATACTCATGTCTTTGGATAATTTTCCATTACACAACTAATTAAGATAATGCCCTCTAAAATAATCAATTTAATTAAATAAAATCTCTCACCAATTATGTCTAGCACATGTAGCAGCTTCATTTCGATCTCTTGAAAAAGCGAAAACTAGCCTGGAAAAAGAAGTTCATCATTTCTTTTTTGGTTTGGTCCAGAGTGGACTGAGTAACATTATCCAATATTTTACTTTTGCCAACCGCTAACCCTCAAAACTATGTTCTAATTATGTTCTATTTTCTATGATAAGATAGTTGGCAATTCAACTAAATGTTTCTATAAAAGCCAGTCCTTGTTACTCTTTTCAAACACACTCACAAGGTCACTTTCAATAAAATTCTTTTTCATTCTTAGAGTTCATTTCTCTCATTTTTATTCAAAGTCCTTTAAACTAAAAAGAAGAAGAAATGGAGGGTTCCAAGAAATTTTCTATGGTTTTCACTATTTGCATAATGATTATTGTGGCTTTTGGGAATGTTGGAGTGTTGGCTGCAGGAGCAGAAGCACCTGCACCTTCACCTGCAATGGAGAATGCTGGAGTTACTTTGTTTGTTCCTGTTCTAATGGCTGCCATTGTTTCAATGGCTGCTATCTTTTTCTAAACTTTTTTTTCCCCTTCTTTAATTTTGTGTTTTTTTTCCATGTTTGTAACATTGCGATTTTTTGTTGAGATTCTCGATATCTAATAAGAATTTAATTTCATCATTCTGGTAGAATAGTTTTATAATGTTATTTCCTCTGCAAAATAATGGACAACATATAACCCATAGTTATATATACTAAGTAAAAACGTCTCAGACTGTTTAACTAATTACCGTGGTCTCCCTTAAATGTTTATGCTCCAAAGTACTCACTATCCCTCTTTTTTTCTTCTAGATAAGTTGGATTACTTTATGAATGACTATTATCTTAACATGAAGTGAAAAAGTAGTGATATAGTTGTGGCCCCTTATGTAAACAAATAATCTACCTAGGTTACATCACCATAAAAATCTGAAATACATGTGTTAATAAACCCATATCAATATGCTTGATTCCTTTCTAGTGTCTCCATGTTGGAGCAGAAGTATAACTGCTAGCACATTAACTGCAAATTCTATAACAACATTATAGTAATAGCAAGGGCGTATATAAGTGCACAAAGAAGTTCCTCATGATTTTCATTTTTCTCTTAGGTTGGAAAACTTGGAATGGATCTTTTTTTTTTTACATTATGTGACAGAAAAATCATTGGAATACTTAAAGAATGAGCTCTATCCATATATAAGCCAACTTCAAATCCTTCTATGTACAAGTAGATTGGTGAATGAACATTGTAAGCACGTGATTTTTGCCCTATGAAAGAATTACTCCCAAAAATTCAAAATAAAACGATTTTTCTTGGTGTGCAATTTTAAGAATTTTTGTGATATTTTTGGATAATTATTTGTATTTCTGTGCATGTTTATTTGTTAAATTGATAAAAATATAAAAATATGTCGCATTTGCATTTAATATTTAATTCTGCAGTTAGGAGTAGTTAAGTTTGTTTTAGAAAATGAAAACAATCATAAAAATATGTATTTTTGCATTTTAGCATTTAATGTCCAATTGTACAATTTTATGCTTAATTGGTTTAATTATATATGATATTTGTCGCTAGGAATTAATTAGTATTTTTGATAAGTTAATTTAGTTTATAACTTAATTTAGAATTTTAATTTTATTAATTAGAAAGTAAAAGAAAATACAGCAAAAAATATAAAGAAAATCGGAATTGGGCCTCTTCTTCAATTTCAAACCACAGGCCCAAAAAATACCCAACCTTCCACATTACCCGGTCCATTTCAACACGGGTCGACCCGGTCCGCCCCATAATCCCAAATGACCTAACCCCTCCTAATCTTCATTTCATTTCCTAAACCTAAACCTAAATCATCCGCCCCCTTTCTTTCTCTCTTCTCCTTCACCATCTCCAAAACTCCAAAACACACATCCATGGCTGCCTTCAAACCCACGACGTCGACCACTGCTGCCGTTTCATCTTCGTCGTCAAGCTCGAGCTCGAGCTCCCATGGCTGCCTCCCTCGACGAACAGCACCCTAGCCCCTCGCCTTCTGCTTTGTCTTCAAACGACCACCATGAACGACCCCTCCGCTTCATCTCCTCATCTCCACCAGTAACGACGCGAACCAACCCAAACGACCACCATCTCGCTCACCAAAACAGCCCCCGTCGTTCGTCGTCGTCACGTCCAAATGACAACCAGCATCTCCATAGCCAACTAACCACACAAACGACCATCTTCTTTAGTCGACCACTAGCGTCCATCGTCAAACGACCACCCCCGGAAACGCAGCTGTTGTCTCGCCGTTCTTCAGCTCAACCAGTCGCCCAGCCCGCCTCCTCACGCCCAGCAGCGAACCAGCAACGCCATACCAGGCGACCACCCAGTCGCCACCCTCACGTCCATACACGACCAAACAAACCAGCCACCCCCCTCCTTCTCTTCTCCGCCGAGCACCAGTTAACCCATGGCTGCTACTTCTTCGTTGTCTCCTTCAGTCGAACAACCCATCATCGACCACTGCTCCCACTGCCTCGTTTTCAAACGCTACCAACCGACCATCTTCTTTGATCGTCCATTCGTGGTCATCTTCGACGTCGAGTTATTTTGGTGCGATAATTGTTTCCGGACAGATTTGTTTTCGTTCAAGTTCATCGTCGTTCCGATCCAGTTAGTTGGTTTAACCAATTCATGTTTATCGTTTTTCTTATTTTTTTTTTCTCTTCAGTTTGTTTCATTTTTCTTGTTTATTTTTAGGTAGAAATTGTTAGTAATTATAATGTTTNCTGTTATTTGAATT